TGTTTGCATACCCCATACCACAGCCATCAAGAATGACCCCAGGACTTTTATTGTCATCAAAACCTACAACACACTTGGTCTGTCTCGCCTCACTGTCATCAAACACCACGTGTGTGGCTGTCCTCACACAAACCTCCCCCCACACTTTGCTGGGTGTGTCTGAGTTTTGACACTTGCCACATAGACAGGTGCCCATGTTGTCACTCTCTGTGTACTTGACCACACTACACACCCTCCCCGTCCCTGTCCTCAACACGTCCCTTCCTCTGGTGTTATAAAATGGATACTGACCCCTGAAGAATGGAACAGACTTAGGTCTCTCTAGACTGGTGTACTTGACCTTTATCAGGACCGTTAGGGCAGCTAAAGTTTTGATTACATCCAGTATGATGACATCACAATTACGTGTGGGGACATGACCCAAGTTAAAATCATTAACAGGTATAAAGTTGACATGACCTGGATTCTTCTTACAGCCTGTATAGTGCTTGTGTAAGTCAGCTTCACCTCCATAGCAGATCTCGGCTTCATGATGTCCTGGAGAGATACAAGGGGAGGGAATCCATATTTTTAAAAATACAATTTTAAATGTATTTAAAATAAGGTACTTGTCAAACAAAATGTACAACAATAAAAATTAACAAAAACAGATGAAGTAGAGTTTACATTTATCATGTGGTATATATTGCCTGCCAAACGACCATTTAACTAGCCATGAAATGTCCACAGACTCAGATAATGTATTAGCTGTAAGAGAACTCATGCACATTAAGTATGTAAATAATGTAATCTTGTGCTCAGCAACTCTGCATAAATTTAACTTCTTACATTATACGTACATATTTCACACAATCTGAGACTCACCTGGTATAAAATCACCTTCAGTTTTTTTTCCTTCCAACTGTGTTGTCTCATCTTGTCTTTCTTCCAACTGTGTTGTCTCATCTTGTCTTTCTTCCAACTGTGTTGTCTCATCTTGTCTTTCTTCCAACTGTGTTGTCTCCTCTTGTCTTTCTTCTAACTGTGTTGTCTCATCTTGTCTTTCTTCCAACTGTGTTGTCTCATCTTGTCTATGTGTTAGACCTAAAACAATTTAACATCAAGGTTTCAATTAGATTAAACACAAACCTATACCAGAAAATAAAGCATTTCTCTATTTGTAAAACAACTGGGATGTTCTAAACATTTACAGCAAATACAAAACATGTAGCCTAGAAACATTTATTTTACCTTTCTCTGCCAACTGATTTTCTCTTTTCTTGCCACCTGTATTTTCCATCTCTGACAACTTTACCTGCAATAAAAAAATATTTTTAAATAATTTTACATTACATGATTTTGTTACAAAATTTCTCATAATTTAAGTCGACCTTAAGGATGAGTTCCAGATTCTATTCTGGTGATGTGAAGACAGTTTGAACTCTACTTCACTTCATCCACCATTACATTGTATCACATTAAATTACATTACACATTTTTTTACTTTAAATGGGGGTGTCAAACTGATTTTTTAAAATGGTCCCAGAGCTTTTTTGAAAATTGCTATGTCAAGAACTTGCTATGTCAATTTTTTCAAACATAAAAAAATAAGTACATCATTTAAATTGATTGCATTGAAATTGGCTTTTCTCACATTTTGAAAAAAATTTAAAAGTGAAGTAATAAACCGGGAGTGATCTCCCCTAAACTTTCTCGAATATTCTTATATAAAACAACAAGGGATGGGAACTCCATTTTAAATACGTTAAGTTTTTAAAATAGAATAAAATCTCGTAGAAAAAAGAATTGCACACCAAGTGAACGCCAAATAAAATGTGAATAATAGTGCACAATATTATTAATACTATAAATTTACATGCGTTTTTGAGAAATCAAAAATAGCGTAAATTGGTACTTCCGGTCAACGGAAATTACTCAAAATTTGTAAGAAGGTAGAGAATTAGATATTTTACTTACATGTGAAATTTCATTTATCTATCTGAAATAGTACTCAAGTTATAGGCTTTTGAAGTAGAAAAAGTACCACTTCCGGTTATCGGAAATCACTCAAAGTTGATACTGATCTACGATTTTGATAAAATACTTATATATGAAATTTCATCAACCTAGCTATAACGGTACTCAAGTTATCGTGTTTACACACGGACATTCACACAGACATACGGACAAGACTGCAAAATTATGTTTTTCTGTATTACAAAACTTTCTCTATACTTTGTATATACGAGAAAGTAAAAAACACAGATTTTGTACATTTTTAAAACATCACCAAAAAATGTCTGATAAAAAAACATACTTGATAAGTATATCAAAATGTAGGGGAACGACGCTTCTTTGAATTTAAGTTACATGTATGCCTATAACAAGTACGTTTGAAACACACGTTTGATCAGAAGAGTACAGGGGTTCACAATCTGTCCAAAATGCGTCTTTTTAAAAAAATTACAAAAAATAAATTATGACACCTACAGTAGATCTGAGTACATAGAAATAAAGGATAATCATAGCTCTTAACAGGTAAGCAGTGTTTGTGTCTGTGATTAATTTATATGCGATCCAATGGTGGCTGGAACAGTGCTAGGGTCACATAAAGGAATTTTTGTTGTTGAAATAATTATTAGTCTCAAGAACCAGTAGTGCATTTAAAAGTAAGAACATTTATTTAGAATGTCTCAGTCGATGTTTCTTTATGCTATAAATATGTATATATACCTAGCTGGTTCAACAATTTTTGCGATATGACAGGGCTACACAAAAATACACTTGCTTAAATACAACTACATAGGCTAAATAGAAAACCATGCTAGTCTTGCATTCTCACCCTTAGTGTCTTAACAGTTGTTTTTCACGACTATAACCTGAAAATATGTAATCAATAGCCACAATAGTCACCATAAGCGGTCTACATAGTTTATAGGACGTAACAAGGTTTTTTTCGTAGACAAGGGCTATATTCTTTTAAAGGAATCTAATAACGGTTTATTTCCTAGCTGACTGCAAAGTGTAAATGCATCTGCACTTGTGCACTGATCATTAATATATATTGACATTGTTACAACTGTAGGAAATTTCTCGCTGCCCCCCACCCCCCTTTCCAGGTAAGTTTTGGAGGCATTAACATAACAGTTAAAATTGAAATTAAAGAACACACTAAAAATCTATTTCTTTGGTAATGTAAAGTATTTCAAGCTACACATCATTTACTATTTAGTTTAAAATGATCGCTAAAACCCAACCCATGCATCAAAATTGCAGAGTTTTCTACTTTAAACTATACCCATATATTGTTGACACTGGCGACAAAGTGTACAATCACGTGACCTTTTACATTTAACAGAAGAAAAATATTCAGCTATTCTAAAAATATTAGAAAAATATGTTGCAATTAATATTCAAAGTACCCTCTGTCAGAAAAGACAAAAATATTTGAACTAGTGTGTAAGCAATCATAAAAAAATTAGACTCCGATACAAAGTGAAGTGGGGTTTAGCTCATGGGACGAAGCTGAAAAATTACTTGGAAGTCTAATCATTGAACGACGTTATAGCTTTAATAATAAAAATATACTGAAGAAATAAACTATAAAAACTAGACTCACAAACTTGTTTTTTAAGTAGATACATGTTTTAATTTATCTTACTGAACTATCAAGCCTCTAAAACATGCTAACATCAATTTAGAAAAGCTTGGTGGTGCGTTGCTAACGAAGAAAACTGCCATTTTCTTCGACCGGGCCTGGAGCTATTTTAGTGATCGCTATAGTGTGTTTTGTCGAGCTCTGCCTTTTTTGACCATGCTCACAAATGATAAACAAAAAAGTGCTTTAACAGATAAAAGGACCATCTTTCTGAATATGCTAATAAAAAATTTATACGATGATAGAATCACATGGTAATTTTCAAATTTCTTAGTCTTTTTAACATTTAAAATATTTAGTCTATTATGCATTTGTTTGTTAAGTATCCAATTAAAGGCTATTCAATTCTGCACATTTTACAGGTATTTGTAAAGAAATACGTTGAACGGTCAGAAAAGGCCAGCGAGTTGAATGAGAGAGGTGTCAAAATCCATTAGTCGACTGCCGTTGAAAAATGATCTTGGTGATAGTTTTCAATTGGTAAATGAGATATATTTTTTAATATCAACAACTATAAAAATTACACATAATTAGAGGGCTTGAAATCTACCTTTTAATGGTACCAAGCTTATTACTATACGAGCCCTTTTTATTATCGATACTATGAAGTGAAAAGCTACTATATTTGGGTGATGATGGCAAAAAATCCGTTTTTTACGGCAGTTTGACATCCCTATTTTAAATAACATCACATGTTAGCCTACATAAAAATATATTTATATTGTTCAATATCAAATTTGAATTGTTTGTAACTGGTACAATATTAAAAACTAGCTTAACACATTCTCAAACTTTATATTTTTTTCATAAAGGCTTAATTACTTTTAATTCAAGTTTTCTCATTCAATTAGTTATTAGCTAGATAAACTCAATTAAGAACACACAGAAAAAGAAATAGCTAGTTGCAATAAAATTATTCTGATACAAAAATACATAATCTTAAAACTTACATTACTTGTGCTTTTCTGCTATAAATTATGTTTTAGTTTTTGCTAATGTCATCTTTAAAATGTGTCAAACGAGTGGCTTTTAAGTGTCTCAATTCTTAAATGAGTTTTATTTGCCTTCTATTAATTGTCTTTTACATCAGATTCTAAGTCACTCCCCCCCCCCCCCCCATTAAAATGATATTTTTTTTGTTAAGAGATTTTATTCTAAAGTAAACTGAGCTTATTGAAGTTTAATATATATCTTAATGTAATTCTGAAATTTAAACTTACAAAAGAGACACAAAATCATTGACTAAATAGTCAATACGTTTTCTAAGAAGTAATCAAAGTTGGCTTTAAACATATATGTGGTCTACTAAAATGCTAGATCGAATTCTATTGAATGAATAAAAAATGCAGACTTTGGCACAAACCTGAAGTAGTTTTGTAATTGGATCCTATTGATGGGTGATTCAACTGTCCATATGTTTCTCCTTCATACACCTTGATAAAAAGACATGCATACTATTATATACCTTCAAAACATTAGAATATAGGATTACATCTATTAACAAATCTAGATTAACAGTGTATGCTCTAGTCTAAACTCTGACTAATTTAATAAAATTTAGCAGGTATGTTGATGTAATCTGTATGAAAGGTGTATACATGGGATAGATTACTGCGTGTGTGTATGTATCCTGTAGCGAGACACAAGGCCACGTCTGCTGTTGTGTATGATGTTGTATGGAGTGAACAAGGGTACAAGGGAAGCGAATGGTCGAGTGACAGTGGTAGTGTTGTGAGCAAGAGAAAGGAGGTGTGCAGGGATAAATGCGGAGAACAGTTGAAAGTTGGGGTTAAAGTAGACAGGTTGATGTGGAACTGGAAAGGTAATTGAGGAAATAAAAGAGATTGTTATACCTTGACTTTTTGACAATTGCCATTGTGCCTTATTGTATTGTTAGTGTATTTTATGAGATAATATATAGGCCTAGGCCTAATCATTATATAATATATAATTATTAGTCCTATATAATAGAATCTAGATCTGACTAAATGAGTAACTCTATCTAGTCTAGGAATAACTAGATCTAGACTATAGGCTAAACACTATTCACTATAGGATTCTATATAGTTTACATTTTATTTTAGCGTAATAATCAATTTGGCCGGCGCTAGTAATTGAAGCGATAAGGTAGTTAATGAATATGGCTTAAATATGAAAATGTTTTTGCATATAGTACTAAAATACTAAAGATAATTGAATATTTAACCACATTTAAAGGTTAAATCAATAAAAATGTCCTGGAATTAACGTTTAACAAGGATGTTCCAGATACCAAATTTACTATTAAAAACAGCGGCCATCTTAAGAAAATATTATTTAGAGTAACTTCCCTTAGATTTCTATTTGTATGGAAATGTATTGATGTTTGCTATTAAATACGATTGTCTTGTTTTTAAATACAAAACATGCTTGGTTTTTACAAGCTTTTATTTAACTCACTTCCTCTGTCGACAGTCTGTCGACAGTCTGTCGTCAGTCTAGATGGAAACGCAGGAGTGAAAATTCGGACAGTTCTACTTGACCGATACGATTCACAGTTGGCACGTGGGTCAAGACATGAAGACAATGCAATCTGAATCTAAATTTGACTTAATTGGATGCCTAATTAAATTTTTATGAATTAATTAAAATTTGGACCAAATTAGTAGGCATGTCTATCCAACCACACCACATACGTCATCACGTTCAATCAGGTTTAATAGCTGCGCTATCACGTTCAATAGACGCGCAATGGTTTTTAGTCTTGTAACACTATTGCAAATAAAACATGTAAAGTACTGAAAAAAAAAATTCATAAAAAACGTTTTAATAACAAGCTTTTATGTAATGATGCACTAAAAAGTAGAAAATAAATTATACACTACTATTTAAATTACTATAAAGAAAAGCGTGGGTCTCTTCTCAAATATTAGTAAAGGTATCCAATAGGTACTAAAGTACTAAAGTGACCCACGATTTTCTTTATAGTAATTTAAATAGTAGTGTATAATTTATTTTCTACTTTTTAGTGCATCATTACATAAAAGCTTGTTATTAAAATGTTTTTTATGAATTTTTTTTTTTACAAGCGTTTATTTAACTCACTTCCTCTGTCTGTCGTCAGTCTGTCTAGATCGAAACGCCGGAGCGAAAATTCGGACACTTCTACTTGACAGATACCATTCACAGTTGGCACGTGGGTCAAGACATGAAGACAATGCATCGTGACATTAAATTTGACATAATTAAATGCCTAATTAATTTTTTATGAATTAATTAAAATTTTGACCGAATTAGTAGGCATGTCTATCCAACCACACCACACGTGTCATCACGTTCAATAGCTGCGCCATCACGTTCAATGGTTGCGCCATCACGTTCAGTAGGCGCGCAATGGTTTTTAGTCATATAACCCTATTGTAAATAAAACATGTAAAGTACTGAAAAAAATTCATAAAAAACGTTTTAATAACAAGCTTTTATGTAATAATGCACTAAAAAGTAAAAAAATAAATTATACACTACTATTTAAATAACTATAAAGATGGTTTATTTTTATAAGTATGTTATATATAATCTATATTCTGAATACTTCTATTATTAAAACTGCAACTATACACATTTTAGAAGGATGGAAACACTCTTATTTTCCGACGACAATAATCAACAATATCAACAACTTCGAGTATGAAGAATAGAATTACCTTTATTAACAAATACTAATGCTATACACTATCAATACACGTCCTTCTTCTACAATGGCTAACCCCCAACTGTCTTCACTGCTGCGTCCTACTTCATCAGTACATTGTCGCGTCACACTCACGTCACAAATATTTTATTAAACACGCACACATACTCTCAAACCCAATCGTCTACCGTCAAGTTCACACTGTCTTTGGTAACCTCTACTAGTCTAGTCTAGTTCTATCTATCTACGCTATGACAGAATGCATGGAATCAGTTATGAAATACTACTATAATGCTTTGCTCAATGAAAATGAGGAAAAAAGCGTTACTTTTCTTGCATACCTTTACCTATAACGAATGATCATAACTCAGCACATCATCCTCTTCAAAAAGGCCTGCCACTAAATGCCTACCGATGAAAATAGGCCGCAGTATATTGACTCCAAATGAAATAACTTCTGACAATAAGGCTCAAACAAAGTAGCTCCTGGCAACAATATTCGACAAGAGTCTAAGATAGTTATTGGCTTGAAGGTAAAATTGGATAAAACAGTAAGTTTCACGACATGGGGCTTAACAAAAGATCAACTTACAACAGCAGCTAATGTACAGCTCAATATAGGCTTGAGTTTAATATAGTGTTAGTAGTGGACAGCCTCTAAGAAGGTGCATTAGGAATACGACCGTCGGCAAAACACCAGAGTCCGACGATATCTGAACATCAATTTTTGTCTTTTATGAAGTGCGGAGCCCCTTTAAGAGCGGGGCTGGGGAAGGGGGGTGGTGAACCCTGTTCTCACCACCACTAGCGCCGCTTATTGTCCACATATTAATCACAAGTTTTGCGTGGCGCTTAATGGACAGACGAAGTTTATAGGTGGGACCGGGAGACTAAATGCATTTAAGGGAATTTTAGAGCCGAACGTCTCAGGGCAGCAGCTTGCAGAAATCGAAAGCACGTGAATTTGTATGGAAGAGGAAAAGAACAGTATGCTACTGAAATAAATTAAACACCCATGTAATTTACTAATTTACTGAACTAAAGTCATTTAGATCAGTTCGTCAGGTTACACGTCACTCAAGTTTTTTTTTAAATTACGCTGTATCTCTTTCTTTAACATTAGCCTAATGACAAATGACATCACGCGCGCCGCGAACTTGGTGACGTTGTGCTTAGTTGGGGATGAAACGGCGGGGTTGAGAAAAATGACATATTTCTTTTTTTTTAACAGACGAATAAGTGATGGATTCTAATTTTCCTATGAACTATAAGTTGATCTAGTTTTTTTTTTTAGAGGGAGATATCACTATATAGTGGGTCACGCTTTTTTTTGACAATTTTTACCTCTCCCCTCCGTCACATATTGTCACAAAAAGCCAGACCCCCCCCCCTAAATTGACGTCACACCTCAGCCTACGACCCCCCTCCTCAAAATAGCAGTTACATTTTTCTTAAAACATCGATATTTTTCCAAAATCTTGTCTGAACTCTGTCAAAATAGAGTATTTTAATCAATTCCTATTGCAATTTATTAATACAGTTTTCTGAAACGAGAAATGTCTAAAATTCGTTTTCTAACATAGCATTTTCATAATGCATAAGTGTGACGTCGCACCATCTGAACCCCCCCCCCCCCTCCCCCTCTTCATAAAATTACGGAACCCCCTACGTTTTAGATACGTAAAATCGCCAGCGGCTTGTAATGTGAAAAACAGGTGACTCCTTAAATTTTAATAATTATTTCACATTTTGAGGAGGATTTATGTTTTTTAAAATACAAACATGTTTCCTTGTTTCATTTATGTACCTGTTTTTAAACAATTCAATTAAAGCTTTTCTGTAATAAATGAAGACTAGCGATGTTTCCAACAGATGCAACCATGCTTGTTTACTATAGCAGCCATCTTGTTTAAGTTTAATTTTTATAAGCTTTTAACGCGAGATTCAGGGGGAAGCCACTCTATTTTACAAATGGCTGCTGTTTATATAGCAAATCTTGCTCTCAGACACTGCTGTTTAAAGTTAATTTCTGGCCCATATCGATATATTTAGCAATTGATTTAGGTTCATTATTCATTTATCTATTATAATATTTGACACAAACATAAGACAATATACTTTAGCGAGCCTCACTAACTTGAAAGCGTCCTTGGTTGCTAACCAGAACATGGCTCACCTTCGCCTACGATTGGGCAATTTTTTCTGCTTTGTTCGAGAGACCACCTTAACATTAAGTTTAAAAATAATTATCACGCGAAAAATGGCGGTTTTTTTTCGCGTATTTTAAGCTATCTGAAGATGAGAAAGCTATTTTTGGCAGAAATTTTTTTGTTAAATTTGCTTCCGACCATGGAGGTCATACGTAAACATGGGTATAGTTTGAGTTGTTTAAAAACTTTAAATAATGGTCTGTAAGGTGTCCAAATGGCACTGTAAATTAGTGTATTATTAGATTGTTCGTTTAGTGAAAAAAAAAATGTTATTATTTTGTATCCATTTTAAGAAATCGGCATCCAAAAAAGGTCACTGAAAGCACGTAATTTTTTATTGTGACGTCATCGCTATTGTTACGGAAGCTGTACAGTAGTATCCTCTCGCTGCTTATATAATTGTGTTTTCTTTTCACTTGACACTCTTTTTCAGCTTATTTTGCTAGCGTAATTAGACTAATTAAGCCTAATTATGGATATTTCACCTGGCTTTTGGA